AGTTGAATACTTCGTCCTGGCTTTGTTTTGTGGACGGACGAGGGCGGGGGATGTGCAGGCATAGGTTGAAGGGGGGCATTGCAGCTCAGACAATGAGATATATGTCCTGTCTCCGGATATAGCCATACATGCAGTGGACGGGGATCTCATGAATCGGGACACACTTGCAGAATGGAGGTCTCGTACCCTTGCACGACGGTTGGTGGTGTCGGGTGTCGGGCCGCCGTGTGAGACCTGGTCTGCCTCTCGATGGGCAGAAGGCCAAGCTCCCCCGCCTCTGCGTACGCATGACCAATTTTGGCGTAAGGCGGCAATTACTGAGCGTCAGATGGAACAGCTGTGGGTGGGCAATGCGCTATGCCATGCTATGCTGGAGCTCTTCGCTGCACATGCGCAGGCTGGGGCGTCCTTGGCTCGAGCACCCCCAGCCGTGTGAATGGGGGCTCCAAGCCGTCAGCTCGTTTACCTGCCATCTGATGCGCGCTCTCCAGTCGTCCCCAGCAGTCTCGACGACCGACTTTGATCAGTGTGAACGTGGTCAGACGTCAACGGCTCCACTAGGATCGTTGCACTTCGACTGCCAGGGCTGCGCGCCTATTCTGGCACAGACGAGGGATGGGCTCCTGATTCTGTGTCTCGGCGCGCGCGCCGTGTCCGACACGGCCCCGAGCCTTCGACCTCTACATGTCCCTCCGACAGCAGATCAGGCCACCTGTGCCGCCTCGCAGGTTCGCGATGACATGGCGGAGGTTAGACCAACAGGCCCGCTTGAAGCTGATGAGGGGCAGGAGTATGTAGAGGCACGTGCTTTTCTAGGTGACTCGCAGAGGGAATCATGCCCCCCTTCCCGCCCGCCCCTGCGCCGCTAGCGCCTGGAGTCCTGGAGCGCATTGCGCAGAACCGCGTGCAGGCGCGTGGCGGAAGAGCTGCTGAACTCCAGGACGAGAGACAGGCGCGCTTGCGCGAAGTAGCCCCTTCGGACCCTGGGTCCTAATTTTTGCATGTGCTTGTTTTGGTATGATGCTGCCTGTCATCGATCATGATATGTTGGGGGTTGTTGTTCGGTTGTGCGCGGATAAGTGCAGGTGCCGAATTGCAAGTTGCCGTTGTCTTCTGCGCCGCCTCTTTCTGCCACCTTTCTCTGTCTGCCCGCGCTCTGGTGGCGTGCGACGCCGGTGGGCCCGCGGCATGATGACTCAGGGCCGCGCTGTTGCTGCTTTCTTTGCCTCGATTACGATCTCGGCGCTTCTCTCTCCATTCTGTCTCCCGCTGCCGCCCTAGTTCGAGAGGTTTCGGGCGCCGTGCCTTGAGCGGCGAACCTCTCTCGGGGCGGGCAGACGCGCGCGCCTGCCCGCGCCCGCGCGTCGGGCTCGTCAGGCCACCTCAACTTCCCCACTTCCTTGCCTAGCCTTCAGCTTACTGTGGTCGGGACCGGGGGTGGGGTTGGCACGTGGGCGGGGGCGTTTTTTTTTTTTTTTTTTTTTTTTTTTTTTTTTTTTTTTTTTTTTTTTTTTTTTTATATATAAAATAAAAAAAAATATATATTATTTTGGCGTTGGAGCAGGCGCTGGCCGCAGGTCGAGCGCGCGAGAATCGGGCATTCCCGCTGGCCCCTGCCTCGCACCCGCCCCCCACTCAGCTGCCTTCTTCGTCAGCCTCTCTTGCCTCTTGGTGCTTCTTCTTTCGTTCGATCTCTGGCTGCCGCTCCAGGTCGAGAGGTTCCAGGCGCCGTGCCAGGTGCGGCGAACCTCCTTCGGGGCGGTCGGACACGCGTGCAGGCCCTGCCCGCGCATCGGACAAGCCAGGCAGTTTCTCCTTCCCCTCCTCCCCTGGGTATAGGTTTGTTGGCGGGGACGTAGTTCGCACTGCGGCGATGAGGTAGGCATGGGGCACAGGTCGAGCGCGCGAAAATCGTGCGCTCCCGCTGGCCCCTGCCTCGCACACGCCCACTTAGCTGCCCTTTCGGCCTTGTGCAGGCTATCTCACCCGCCCCCCCTCTTTGATCAGGCTCCTCGTGCCATTTCCCTACTCCTGTTGCGTTGCAGTGCGCCTTGGGCGCCTTCCGACGATATGGGGGTGGTGCGGGTTAGGTGGCGGGGGCGGGGAGATTCACCAAGCCTTGGCGCCCATGCTGCGTGTTTCTGCCAGCGGCTAGTGATTGCCGCACCAAGCTGACCGTCTCCTCGGCAAAGTAGAGCGCAATCCAACTCCCTCCTGCTCATCCTCCTGGCCCCTCCTCCTCCTCCTCCTCCTCCTCCTCCTCTTCCTCCGCCTCCTCCTCCTCTCGCCCCCTCCTTCTTCATCCTTCTCCTGATGAAGAACTCCTCCCGGTCGCACCCCAAGGCGCGTCGGTAGGGCAGGCTGGGTGTTTCGCTTGAGATTTCTTTGCCATTTGTGGTCCTGAAGCTGGGCACTTCAAGGCTCTCGCCTTGAAGTCGCGCACATCCGTCGCAACAGATTGCGTAATTTACACGGATTGAGGGCGGCTTCTTTTCTCAAAACGTGGCTCTCGCCTCAGCGCCTCGCGCGTTCGTCGGCCTTGGCCCCATCCCGCCACCGTGTCTGGGCTGTGGGTATGGAGCCTGTTGGATGCTCTTTGGGATCTCGTGGGAGGCTTTTCGGGGGCCTCTTGGAGGCAGTTTGGAGGCCTTTCGGGGGCCGTCTGAGGGCCGTTTGGGGGCCTCTTTCGGGCCTTTTGGGGACCTCTTGGGGCCTCCTGGGTGCCTTTTGAGGGCCTTTTGGGGCCTCCTAGGCGTCTCTCGGGCCGCCCTGGGGGCCTCTTGGGGCGGAAGGCTCGGATGTTCTCAGGGGCGCTTCTGGGGCCTTGGGCGCTTCTTGGGCCGTCCTGGGACGCTCCCAGGCCGTGTTGGGGCGTTCCTGGGGGCCTCTTGGGTTGTTTTGGGGTGGTCTTGGGGGCCTCTTGGGCCGTTTCGGAGCGTCGGAAAACCGAAAACGAGAGAACACCAACTTCCTTCAACAGCCATAGGACCGTCAATACATTTTTCCTCTTGAGACCCTTTTGGGGGCGTCTTGGTGCGTCTTGGAAGCTTGTTGGGCCATGTTGAAGCCATCTTGGGCATCTTGGGCCGATGTTTGGGTGTTTGGGGGCCCTCGTGGACCGTCTTGGGGGCCTCGTGGGGCTTTTTGCCCGTCTTGTGGCCCTCGCGGGCCCGAACAATTCACGCGCCACCACTTCCCAAAGCCCCAGGGGGAACGCGGGAAACCCCGGGAGATTCGGAATTTGGGGTCCGGGCTAAAGACTCTTCGGGATTGAGGACTGAGGCGCCAAGGATTACGCAAAGGACCTGAGGACACGCCCACTCCGTGCCAGGAGGCACGGTGGCGGATGCAACAGTTTCCCGGGTGGAGGGCGGGCGGTTTTCGAAAGGTGGTTTCGCCATAGCGAAGCGCAACGTTTTAAAGCGCTTGCAACAGCTTCATTGATGAAGCGTGGGTCGTTTTCAGAATGTGGCTCTCGCTTTACAGCCGCGCACATTGTTTATTCAATTGCGCAACTTTCTCACGGATGGAGCGGGAGCGTTTTCAACATGTGGTTCTCGCCGTCGCGCCGCACACAAGCACATACACACACACACACACGTCGTAACATGTTGTTACAGTTTCATGGTTTGAGGGCGGGTGGTTTTCAACAGGCGCGCACACTCGTGTGAAACGATTGCAGCGTTTTCACAGAGGATCGTTTTTGAAACGGTATTCTCGCTTTCTTGCCGCGCGCATTCTTGTTAAGCATTGTGCACCAACTTCACGGATGGAGGGTGGTTGGTTTTCAAAGGGTGGTTCTCGCCTTAGCGCCGAGCTCGCTCGTTTTACGCGTTCGCAGGATTGTTCACAAGGGGATTGTTTTCGAAATGGTGTTCTTCGCCTCAGCGCCGCGGGCATTCATTTTCCGATGGAACTTTTTAGTCGGATGGGCGATTGCTCTTTTCACGGTGGAGTTCTCATTGGAGACGTAGCTTAAGAGTATGTAGCGTTGCACAGATCCATGGGAGCTCTTTTTCAGAGTGGAGCCGCCGCTTGTGATTTCGTCGGGGTTCGCGACCACATTGGCAAACTTGTGCAACAGCTACACGGATAGGACACTTCGTTTTTTGTATGATCATTGATTGTTCACGTTTTTGAATACGCGCCAGAATTATGCAAGGCATTTCCGTTTCGAAGTGGGGCCACGCGAGAATGGCAGGCCCAAGTGTGTTAGTCCTTCGAGGAGGCGCTTCTCGTAGTGAAAAGGAGGACTCGCAGGGACGTGTGGGGAGGGGACTTGGGACTGGAGTGTGTATTGCAGCATCGCTTACGGATCTTTGATTTGCTCTGGTCCTCCTTTTTCCTCCTCCTTCCTCCCTTTCCTCCTTGTCGCCTTCTGGGCACATTCCGACCCGCCAGGTAACCTGCCACGTATCAGGTGCAGTTTTTCGATTTGCTCCAGGGGGATCTTCCGCACGGTATCTCGTGACACCAACAAGTTGCCGATGAGGAGGCGTATTCTACATGGTACAAACCCTCACTCTACATGGTACAATATTCCCTCGTCTCTTGAGCCAACAATCCACCAATATCAAGAATCTGACCCGTCAAGAATACCTCGCTAGGATTGCGGCTGGTTCAAAGCCAAACGTCCTCAGCCAAGCCGAGAAGAAGGCGAGGCAATCGAGCTTTTATTCAATGCCGCACTCCCATCTTTCGAGGAAGAGCAAGAGGGCACAAACATGCATTTTCGGAGGTCCGGGAGGATTTTGTTGGAGCGGCGCTGGACCCCCCCTCCCTGGCGCGCGGAGCGCGCCAGGGGCGGAGCCGGAGGTGCCGCCAGGGGGGCCGAGCGCAGGCCAAAGAATTCTGCGCGTACCCTCGAGAGTTTGTGTTCATGCGGTTTGTCCGTCGTCCATGCCCTCTCTCCTCTCGCCGCCTCCTGCCCCCTTCCCCGTCATTCTCCTCTCACCGCTCCCCGCCATCTCGTCCTCCACTTCCGCCCCCCCCCCCCGCAGGCTGGCCCAGTGTACGCAGCGCCTGGCGCAGGAACTCGGCAGCGCGGACGAACGCTGGGTAGCCACGGTGCGCGGCTCCGAGGACGAGGCGGAGGCCGAGGAGGTGCGGCCACTCCCTTCCCGCCCTTCCTCTTCCCTCCCCCTGCCCACCTCCCCCTGTTGCTCTCCGTCCCTCTCACCCTGCCTCCATCTCCCCCGCCTGGCTCCAGACGACACGCGCCTGCCCCCCCCCCCCCGCTGAAGATCTAGGCCGAAGCAGTTCGCGGGGGCAGCCCAGATTCGGGGCTCACGTAATGGGGGTCAGCGCTAACGGGGATCAGCCAATCCCCTTCGTCCTCCTCCTCCTCCTCCTCCTCCTCCTCCTCCTCCTCCTCCTCAAGGCATCTGGGTCAGGAGTGCCCGCACAGATGCCCAGGGCGACAGGCGCCCAGCTCCCACACCACCCACATGCCTCTCTTCAGAGACATCCCCCTCACATCTTACCTCGTTTCCGATGGCTTCTAGATGTCTCAGTGTGGGCTGCTGGCTCCTGCTCGTGCGCGTGATGGTCGGCAGCCGCGTTCGCGTACTCCAGTATAACCCCTTGCACGCGTCCAGCGGTGAGAGGCTCACCGCGATCGCACAGGCCTGCCGAGCCTACGACTTCGTGTGTCTGAACGGCACGACCGCCAAGGGCCATGGACGTGAGAGACCCTGGGAGGCTCGCTGGCGGAAGGCAGGAGATCACAACTGGTGTCTAGAGAGTGGGTGGGCTCGCGGGCCGTATACCAACAAGAGCGCGGGCTGCAGCATCCTCCTTGGGGCCAAGGTGAAGAAGGCCTCCGTGACGCACACGTGGACGCCCGCTGGGTCTCTGGCGGGGCGCGGGCTTGCGCTCCGCGCCAGGTGCTCCAGGTACGATCTCGGCGTCTGCTCGGCCTACTACCCACCGCCGCCTGTCAAGGGCGGCCAGGACGTCTACCGCCGCACCTGCGACGCGCTCACGGATTGGCTCCGCTCGCTGCCCTACCTCAGCTCCAAGCGGGTCCTCCCCATCTTCTGCATCGACCTGAACCCGGGGCTCGGACTACACCAGCTCGACGGCGACCCCCAGTGGCGACCCACTACTTCCGACGTCAGCGGCCCGCTGGCGCTGGACAAGCAGCGCTACGCCGCGACCAGCATCCTGCCCCTCATGGAGGAGCTTGGCATGGTGGCGGTCAACAGTTACATAGGCCTGGGCCCGACGTACTTTGGCTCGACGACGGCCTCGCAGATCGACTTCAAATTCGTGCCCAAGGCCTGCCTGGGCGACATCACCTCGGCGGGGCCGCTTCGTCGATTGGGTAGAGAGCTGCAGGTCATCGCCACCCGCTCGCCCAGGGACCACGTCCCAGTCCACGCCTGCATGCACTACTCAATCTCGGCCACCACGGACTCTCACATTCACTGTGACATGACGGAGCACCGCCGCCTGGGCTACCTGCCGCGGGCCATCCGCTGGAACCGCGAGGCGCTCATGCAGTCGCTTCGCTCGGGCCAAGGTCGTGCGGCCTTCCTCATCGAGCTCGAGACCTACTTACGTGAGCACGCGGACGAGTGGGCCACCATCCAGAGCGAGGAGCAGACACCCAACGCCGACTGGGGTTTCATGATGGACGCTATGATGACTATAGGCAGCAAGCACTTCGCTCAGGCACCTGAGTACCGCCCTGGATATCGTACACTGGCCGCCACCATCCAGCCGCTCTTGGACCAACAGCGGGCTCTCCGACTCCAGCTCAGCGACGACCACTTCTCGGACGGCGCCGACGGCGCGCTGGCCCTCCTCTCCGTGCAGTGGCAGCTCCGACGCCACACCAAGTGGCTCCGCTCGGCCCGCAGACAGTACTGGGCTACGTGGCGAATCGACACAGTCGACGAGCTCAACCAGGCCCGACGTCATGGACGCAGCGCTGAGGTGGCCCGCCTCTCCCGACTTCTTGCTGGCACAGGCGTGGGCCCCCGCAAGAGAGACTACCGACGGGCGCCTGTGGCCCTCCCCACTGGGGAGGAGTTGGCCGAGCGCTGGTCGCTGCCGGCTGGCGAAGGGGGCATGGCGGCCACCCGCATCGACTGGGTCCAGCAGGCCGAGGACTACGTTTACCACGACGTCACGGGCCAGGAGGCGCAGCAGTTCATCGCTCCGTGGACCGAGGAGGGCCTGAGCTGGGCCAAGCGCCGTCTTCGCGAGCTTCGCGATTGGCTACGACGGGCTCCCAAGCGTCGTGCTTGCCCTCCGTGGTCGGTCCCGCTGGAACTATGGTGGATGCTGCTTCGCCCGTGCCGCCGCGTGTCCAGGCGCTACCACGGAGTTGGCTACGAGACACCGCAGATCGACCAGGAGCACACGTGGCGTTTCTTGGTGATCTTCCTCCACAGGCTCCGACGTTCTGGCCAGGTCCCGCTCGTGTGGCATTTGAGCCAAGGAGTGGCGCTCACCTGGAAGAGAGTCATTCACCTCCTCGACCCTTTCGGCAAGGGCTTCATGGCCACGGCTATGGACCCACACGAGCTCCAGGACGAACCTCTTTTCGCTCATGGCTGCATACCTCATCGGCGCAGAGAGACGGCCATGCTGGGCCAGCAGCTGTGCACATGGAAGCTGCGCTCCCTCGGCCTCAATCACGTCACCGACCTCAAGGACATCACCAACGCCTTCGCGTCCACCAGCTGGGACAGCCTCGCAGACGCCAATCAGAGCATCATGAAGGACGACCATGTTTCGTTCGGCCGCCAGCGTTTCCGCTTTGCTGCCGTGATGTTCGGCGACCTCTGCGTGCGCCCCAGCGTCGGGGCTCTCATTGGCGACCCGTGGGCGGTGAAAGTCTTTGTGCGGGACATCAGCACCGTCTTTGCGAAGGTGCAGGAACAGTTTGCAGAGTTTGGCCCCGAGACGGCTACCTGGTGCCAGCTCACGCTCAATTTTGACGGCGAGGAGATTCTTCTTGACTTGGCTTTTCACTCATACGTAGATGACGCCATTCGGAAGATCGTGGTGCCGCCCGACCAGGCCACGGCCGCGGAGCTCGCGCGGTGGTCCCGAGCATACGACTTGCTTCTTTCTGCTGGGCTCCGACGCCACGGCTACGCGCTCGACCCAGCCAAGAACGTCAGCCTCTTGTCCTTCGTGGGCACGGGGCTACATGCACGGCGGCGTGAAGCGGCGGAAAAAAAGGTTCTTCTTGCAGGGGCCCCAGCAGACTCGACCCGACATCTGGGAGGCCAGGTCATGGGTAACTGTTCATTTCGGGCCGAGCTATCGGCCCGCCTGGCGGCCATCTCGGCGGGTTTCTTCTCCATGGGAAAGTATTGGTACGCTCGGAGGATCGCCTACACCGAGCGACGAGCCGTGTTCCTGGCCAGGGTCGTGGGCCCTGCGTGCTCCGCCTGCGAGGCCTTCTTGCCGTCCCCCAGCCAGATTGACCAGCTCACGGCGCGGGTCGTCTTCTTCGGGCGCAAAGCTATGAGGGGTGCCGCGACGTCTTGGGAGGGGGGCCACGCTCGTTCGGTCCCTTCCGAGGCGGTCTTGAGGTATTGGCGGGTCCCTCCTCTCGAGATCGAGTTCCGTGTCAGACGTCTGCGGTGGTACCAGCAATGGGCTCGAGAGCCCGCACGACATCTAGGCGAGTGGGCCCCTCTCTTCGGGGACATGAACATCGAGAAAATGCGAGGCCTCCGAACCCTTACACCCGAGGGCCATCTCACGGAGACGGCGAACCCCTGGGCCATCCAGTACGTCAGGGACTTCGAGGCGCTTCGGAGGACGTCTGTGGACACTGAGGAGGATATGCGTTCCTGGTCAGGAGCCCCCTTGGAGTTTCTCGAGGAGGGGGGCTTGCGGGACTGGTTCACAGAGCTGGACCTCTCGGTCGTCAGGGCCGCGTGGCTCTCGGTCAGCATCCCTCCTGCAGGCACTTCTGGTCCCCATCAAGAGGCACCACCTGAGACCCCCGCTGGACAAGGTGAGGGCTTTCGCTGCTCCATCGGGAACTGCGCCAAATGGTTCCTTACGAAACGTCAGTGGCTGGTTCACGTTCGGGCCGCTCATGGTTGCAAAACCCTGTTGGCTGAGGCTGTCCAGGGCGCTTCGTGCTTCGTGTGTGGCAGCAGGTTCCAGTCTCGCAACTCGGCTTACAACCACGTGCTGGACTCGTTCGCTTCGGGCTTCTGCAAGGTTCAGCTCAGTGCCACTCTCGAGCTCGCCCCGCCGACAGGCCCATTCCGTTGCCGACTATGTGAGGCTCAAGTTCTTTCCGAGCCTGCTCTCCACCTCCATACGCGCATCCATTTCGAGGACCTCCCGCTCGCGCTTGGAGGTGATGGATCTCGACGAGCCCAGCTGGGCGGTCGGGAAACGCAAGGGCCAGGGGACCAGCGACTCCAAGGGTGCCAAGCAGGCCCGATTGCTCGCGGAGCTCGGACAAGAGGCGCAGGCCAACCAGAAGAACGGCAAGGGAGGAGCGCTGGCGGCGCTCTTGGTTGTCCTCACGAGGCTCGCCCTCACCAACGCGCGCGAGCTGGCCGAGGTGACTGGCGCCTGCTACACCTCGTACATGGTCGGGGCAGAGGTTCCGTTCGTCAAGGTGCTGCAGGAGACGGGCAAGACGTACGCCGAGAACTGCAAGGCCGACGGCAAGGACCACCAGCACGGCCCCCCCTGGCCGCGCGTGTTCAAGGCGTTCATCAAGTGGGCCTGCAGCACGGAGGGGGCCAGCACGACTCCAGCGGCAGCGCAGACGGTGTTCCAGGACTACTGGCGGAAGGTCACCCTAGCCCCGTCGGCGCTCGAGACGCTGGCGATCCACTGCCGCCACTTCCGACTCAAGGCCTGCTGGTACGACAAGAAGAAGCTCACCAAGCCCGACAGGTTCAAGCTCCAGATCATGCTCGGCATCCCGCAGCAGGCGAACCCTTGGGGCGACGGCGCAGCTTCACTGATGGAGGCGGTCCAGCAGACGGTCATGGCGGCAGGCGCAGACAAGAAGGACCAGACCGTGCGCTTTCTCCCTGGGGCGCCGCCGAGAGGCGGTCTGGAGCGCGAGGCCTCCAAGCTGCTGGCGCAGCTTGGGATGAAGGACAAACCAGCGGCGGAGCCCGACGACAGGGACAAGGACAAGGACGACGACGAGCTCTGAGTCGACCTGCCCGTTTCAGGCTGCAATCCGTCAATGGCTCACGCCGTGCCGCTGAGCTGTACCTCCAGGGCCGCCTCCCAGACGGAACCCTCCTCGCCCTCCAGGCTCGGACCCTCTCCCCGATCCTCGAGTACTCGGATGGGGCCCTGGAGGTTAGACTTTTCTTTAGGACCCCCCCCATTCAGGCCTCCTTCGGCGCAGAGACGCTCCAGAGGCTTTCGGAGGCCTCCCGCCAGCTTCGGCTGGCGGCGAGTTCCTTGGGCGAGGGTCGTCTCTCGGGTTCCCTGCGGACCTCGGACGTTTGGGCCGTGCCGCGCCGCGTCGAGGAGGGCTGAAAGGGGTTGTGCTGGGGTCGGTTTAATGCGTCGCCGTCCCTCGGCCCTGCTCAGTGGAGGGAGTGCATAGGCGAGCCCCCTAGGTGTTCCCGATTTGGGGGTCTCGTTCGTATGCCAGTGGAATCCCCCTGCAGGGCCCCACAGAATCTCGGGCCCCTCAAGTGGTTCTCGAACGCCCGATCCGCTTTTTGTTTTTCCTTGTGGCCCTGCAGGGTGCGGTTGTCTCAAGGCGATTGACTTCATCGGATCATCGGCGCTGCTCTGCTCTGCTCTGCTCCTCCTCCTCTGGCCGACCCGGGTTCGGGAGCCACCTGGGGCCGACCCCGCCCGCCGCTGACCCGGGTCTGGAAGCTACTTCTTGGGCTTCCCAGCTTCGCGACAGGGCCCTGACCGACCCGGGTTTGACTCGACCCGGGGCTGGCGCGTCCCCGACAGGTGGAGGGGCCGGAGGAGGTGCAGCAGTACTCGCACTAGCTCTTGCAGGGGCACGATGGTTTGCGGTCTGGACGCGACAGTTTCGCGTGGATGCAATCGTGTATTCTCTCGAACGCCAGCGTTCACGCCACTTGCAGTAGTCCGTGCCCCCCGGCAATCGTTCGCGCCAGGAGATCGCGCAATAGCACTCGCAAGCGAAGCGTTGCACCTCCCACCCCCCCCCCCGTTGGCGTTGCCGCTCCAGTCTGGAGAAGAGGGGGCACTGGCACGCAGGGCATCAACTTCCGGAGGTCCGTGCAGACTTCTTGGGTCGGCGATGTGCCCCCCCCGGCGGAGCCTACGGCGCCGCCCCCGGCGTGCTCCGCGCAATTTGCAAGACATCCGCGCAGATCTCCGACAGTTCATGCTCATGCAGTTTTTTCTTCGTCCACTCTCCCTCTCTCCTCTCGCCCTCTCCTTCCCCTTCCCCCCATGATCCATCACTAGTTCCTCCCCATCTCGTCCTCTCTCTGCCGCCCTCTCCCCCTTCGTGGAGACTCGGACGACATGAGCGGCCTGCGGATGCTGCTCTTTTCTCCGCGTGGCCACCTCCCCTGTGGAAAAGCACGAGGGACGGATGGGTCGACGACTCAGCCGTGGCCCAGAACCGGCCAATATGACAAGATTTGGCGATCGAAGCACCGCCGATGGCTCAATGTTGACCGATCACGCGGTGCGAGAAACTCACAAACCAACGCCTAAATCCGCATGACACGAACCTGCCGCACGCGCGCTTTATTTCGTGGCCACCCTTCGGCCCAGCAGAGGCGACCCCTCCCTCCCTGGGTCGGGCCCCTCTCGCTCCCCCATCTCCAGGGGAGCAGACGAAGGGATAAACATATGTTTCCGGGGGTCCGCGCGGATTTCTCGGATCTGCGGCGGAACCCTCATGCGGCGCTTGCGGCGCCGCCCCTGGCGCGCTCTGCGCTCCAGGGAGGGGGCTCCAGCGCCGATCCAAGACGTCCGCGCGGAGCTTCGAAAGTTTATGCCTGTGCAGTCTCTTCTTCCTCTGCCCTCGCTCCCCCCTTTCCCTGACCGCGTCGAAGTCGTTGACCCCGCCCCTCCCACGGCACGGCACGTGGGAGGGGGAGGAGGCCGAGGATGCTCGGGGACCCTTCGCTGGAGTGACCCGGCGCGGGGGCACATGGGGTCCTTCCAGCGCTGGCCTGCGTGCGGGGATTGGGCTCCCCGCGCCAGAGTTGGGAGCAGGAAGCGCACCACCACCACCACCACCACCACCACCACCACCACCACCACCACCACCACCACCACCACCACCACCACCACCACCACCACCACCACCACCTGGGGGGATTCAGGATAAGCCGGTGTGTGGGATGCGAGTGTGAACGATGTCACGCGAGAGCGCCCGTGACCACCCTTTGCCTCCATCCTCCATCCTCAGACGTGGCTCGATCGCGCGGAGTTTTGCCCCCCCCCCCCCCCCTCCCTCTCTCCCCTCCTCTTACTCCGCCCTTCACTTTCCTTGCTCCTCTTACCTCTCCCTTTCTCGCTCGTTCCCACAATATCGCAATATGCATACTACCCTCCTCTCTCCCCCGAAGATGACTGGGGAATAGAGCGCCCTCCGCCGCGTATAATTTCTTGCGCAGGATACTGCGGGGTTTGTTCGTCTCTTGGGTTTTTCCACTCCGAACGTTTTCGATCCTTCCAACATGGTGCTCTCGCTGCAGCGTGGGTCTCGTTTTAGGATTGGGGCTTCGCTTCTTTCGTTCAGATGGCGCTTTGGCCCCAGCGCGGACCACTTTTCTGAATCCGAGTCGTTGCTCATCGTTGTCGCCTCCCCTCCTCGCCCCTCCGCCGTCCACTGGTCCTCGTGCCTTCCCTGCTGTGTTCGTCCTCCTCCCTCCTCCCTCCTCCTCCTCCTGCTCATCCTTCTGCTCATTCGCCACCTCCCCCTCCTCCCATGTACGCAGCTCCCCTCTCCGGTTGCGCAAAAGATGGTGGGGTCTTTTTCAGAGTTACAGCTCCGCTCTGACACGCGTCCCCGGACAGAGAAACAATCAGCGCATTGTGACGCGATGGGTGAGAGGGGTTGGATGGCAGATACTGCGCGGCCGCACCCTCCCCTCTCCCTTTCTTTATCCCCATTCCGTTTCTTCCCTCGTCCCTCTCCCCCTCTTCCCCGCCCAGCCTCCTTTCCCCCTGGCCCCGCTGCCCCCAGGAAATCCAGGCAGTGCCTGCACTGAGTGTCTCCTGCTTTCGTTGCTAGAGCTGCGCCCATCGCCCCTGCTCGCCCGCCTTTGCTCGATGCCTCGTTGTCCTGCTCCTTCTGCTCCCTGGTCTCCTCCTGCCTCACCTGCTCCTGCTCCTCCCGCCGCTCCTGTTTCCCTCTCCTGCTCCTCCTCCTCCTCCTCCCTCCTCGTGCGGGTCGTTTTTCGCGGCCCCCCTCTCGCGCCGTCAGCACACGGGAGCAGGGCAGCGATCACTGCGTGTGCAGCCATCGAGGGGATGTGGCGATTATTTCCACGCCTGACGACTGACTGAACATGACCCCTGATCTCGGTGGTGCTCCTGTCCCCCCCCCCTGCTCCAGCTGCTGCTCCTGCTCCTGCGCCTTCCCCTCCCCCTCCCGCTTCGGGCGCAGGTACTGGGGCAGTGGCTGCACGTCGGGGAGTTGCTGGGGAACCTCTGCCAGACCGTGCTCGTGAACTGCCCCACCGCCTCGGTTTTCCTCGCGGTGGCGCAGGGGCAGGGATAGGTGATGGGGGAGACGAGGACGCTGATTTGGATGATGGTGATGGTGATGGTGATGCTCATGGTGGTGATGATGACGACGACGACGACTCAGGACCTGCGGCAATTGCTTGACATGATATGGCCGCAACCGTTTCCTCTGGGCCTATGGGCGAAGCGCGTCGTCTTTGAACACTTCCCGAAGCCTTCAGCGCAGGGATCCTCACAACGAGTCGCGCCCTCTCCCGTTCTGCCGAGCCCCATCGTAGGCCTGCTGTCGTCGCTCCGTCGGCTCGTGGGTTGTCATGGACTGACGCTGGCTTTTCCAATGCCAATGTACCATTTTGCAGACAACATCGCGACGCACTCCAGATCGATCTGTAGACGCGAGTAACAGAGTGCGGGGGCCGAGCGGTCCGACACCATCCCTGGGTGCGAGCCTGGGTTGGGACTCCGCGGTGAGGATTTCCCTTGAGGTTTGTTGTTTCTTGAGTTTGGGGAGGAAGGAGTGAGTGACAAGGATAGGAAGGGCGCAAAGAGTTCGATTCCCTAAAGGAAGGGCGCAACATCAGAGGGGTAACAACGTCACATGGAGAAACCGAGCGAGTCACTCACATGTGTGTGTATACGTAATATATAAATATGTACATATGCATATACACACAATCCCCGAACAGTGCTTGCGTTTAGGGGTTCTTGCTTCTGTTCTAAGGAACTGGGCCTGATTGCCGGTCTGGCGGCTATGTTGTCGCCGTCGTTGCCCCGTCGCCGCTTCGTCGCCGCCAGTCGCCTGGGTCTGACGGCCAGTCTGGCGGCTATGTTGTCGCCTCAGCGGCACCGTAACGGGTACTCCCTAACGGATACATTGCAATATTGCCGAAAGTTGCCATTTTAGGGCCTCTTTCTAGCATTGCAGCGTTCCCCACATCGGGGAGGATCGGGTTCGCCGGTTCACTGGACAAAGTAACCCAGTGCCCCCGGTAAAAATGTACCCCCCTCTTCCCCCCTCTATTTTTTCTATCCCGTGTCAATAGGATTTAACTGGAGAGGAGCGCGGAGGCCGAACTTGATAATCCCCGGGGGAAGTTGCGAATCGAAGTTGCTATCATCTTGTGTTGACTAGCAACAGCATCAAAAACGCTGAGCATGGCCATGGGCCATGGTGGTCTCACCATGTCAGATTCCGCAATGCCGAGCGTGTGGCAGGGCTGTGGGATTCTCACCATTCAGTTTTCCCAAGTCACGAGCGTGCAGCAGGGCCATGGGATTCTCACTTTCTCAGCCGTCCCCGAGTCAGGAACGTGTGGCAGGGCCATCATCATAACTTAACTAACATCACCTTCCCCGGGAAAACGTTGAGTATCCCCGCCGATCCCCCGAACTTTCTTATCCCACGGGGATTCTTATCGGGAGAGCAGGGTTACTGGTTAGCGGCGTCCCCGTTAGAGGGGCGCTGATCGCCGTTGCCGCACCATCGCCGCCTCAATTGCACAACGTATATTGGGCACCATTTTTCTAGCTTTCGCAAAATTTCGGATTTACCCCCGTTGGGATTATCTTCGAGCTTTCCTCCTTGGGGATTATGATTCAGCCGTGCCGGTCAGTGTAAATATGTGTTGCTACCATCCCAGCCAAACTAGTTTCGTTCTCACCCACCATCCTCTGCCAAAAGCGCTTTGCGAGCACATTTGTTGATCGCCAATCATCCATTTCCAAAGACATTTCGCAAATTATTTGGCGAAGGGCACATGCGCGCGTCGTCGCGCGCGAATGATGGAAACCTTCAATAACCCGAGGTTTCGTAAGGATTTTGTGGTCGACAGTGCTGCTACGAATAATACCAAACACGCGTTTATGCATCATGAGTGTTCTATGAGATGTCAGAGCGCGCCCTTGTGAATTGAAAAAACCATCGATTTTGGTTGAACATGTTCACCATATGCCACCAAACGGGCCTTTTCGCGCGCGCGTGCCGAAATCATTCGAAAACCTTTGCGCGCGTGCTGGGGGGCATGCTCCTTGTTAAATGTTACCATGCGGCTGTTCGCGGCCGTGCCGCTCACGCATGCCGAAATATTTCAAAAACCATCATCACCGACGCTTGGGCACCATCATCGTCATCGGCGTGATCAGCATCGGCGCCGTCGTTTGCCTTGCCGTTGTCGTCGTCATCGTCGTCATTCGCATTTCTGCAGTCATCATCGTGTCTGCAGTTGTCGACGTCGCCATGATACCGCGCCCGCCCGAGTCACCGACTCGCCTGAAGCGCCCGCGCGTCAACGCGGCCTGTGAGACGCGCTGGGAAGCCCCCAAGGGTCAGCGCCACCGCGGCCGCGTCGGTCGCGCCAGACTAGCTGGCCGCTCTGCGTGCGAGCCTGCGCGCGCGAGCGCGGCCGCGGCGACGCGCCAGCCAGCGCCAGGCAGGCATCACAATTGCTGCGCCATATAAAGTGAAAAGAATCGGTTGCGCAACATATTTCGTACCAGTACATTTTCCTTTCGGAGAAGGAAACAGCTTCTGCCACCCGCCCCCCCCCCTCGGGTTTACAAGAACCCGCGGGAACCGATGCAAAACGCATAGGATTCTGACCCAGTGTCCATCCTACCTCTGGATTCAGGCTATCCCAGCCAGGCCGGTATCGGTCTCCCTGCTATCTTTTGCACTGAATATCATGCGCGCGCACTCGTTTATCACAAGTAATAAGTTGCCAAGAACCCCCTGCAACAAATGGGACGAAGTGCGCCCGCGCGCGTCGTCGCGCGCGCATGCCGAAATCGTTCGAACGCCCTTGTGCGTGCGCGCGCGCTCTTGCGAATTCTTAAGGCAACCGTAGGTATCTCAACATGTTCGCAAATTGTTACCAAACGGGCTTCGCGCGCACATGCCAAAATTTCGAACGCCCTTGCGCGCGTGTTGGGGTGGCACGATCCGTTTCAAATAATACCATGCGAGCCACTCTCGCGCGTCTGCCGCGCGCGCATTTCGAATTCCTTTCAAGACCGTCGTCGCCGACGCACAGACGCCGTCATCATCGTCGGCGTGATCGGCATCGGCGCCGTCAATGGCCGTGCCGTCGTCGCTGTCAGCATCGTCACCAACATCGCTACTAGCATCATCATCATCATCACCATCAGCATCACCATCATCATCGTCATCATCTTGTTGTCTATAAATGTCGACGCTGCCATAGTACCGCGCCGCACCAGCCCAAATCGCCGATTCGCACTCAAGTGCCCGCGTTGATATGCCGAGCGGTCAGCACCACCGCGGCTGCGTCGGTCGCGCCAAACTATTTGGCCGCTGCGCGCGCGCATGCGTTGGCTGGCGCGGCCGCAACGATGCACCAGCCAGCGCCGAGCACTCATGGCAAACGCCGCCGCGTGAGGTTTGCAAACCAAGGTGCGGGTGGGTGGGTTGGATGTTTGCGCGGGCAGTGAAGTGGACAATTCATTGCGAACAGCAATCACTTGCACCGCGTAGAATGCACACATCTTGCGCCGCACCACAATGGTGGCTGACGATTTATCGCATTACTGAAATGGTTTTATGTTGGTTGCGCAGATCGTTTGCGCACCAAATATTTGTTTTCCGGTCTAGAAGAGTTGTAGGAACTACCCCCTGGGGTTAACGGTGCATTTTTTCGTGTTGCAATGTGCACAGAGTTTTGGCCCATCGTCCATCCCAAATCTGATCTCGCACCACCCCAGCCAAGTCAGACGTCGCATCCCGCACTTTTTTCCCAAACGAATGTATATATATATATATATATAATTACACATTTGCATATATATATGTATATGGCGTTATCGTTGATCAGCACTCATTCGTTTTTCCATATTCCTTGCAACAGATTGGGCGAAGTGCGCCCGCGCGCGCATTTCGATCTCGCTCACCAACCTGGGGTCGAACGGACGAATGTCCCGAAAACACGTCAACACACGTTTTCGCAACAAGGATGTTCAAACAAAGCCTGCGCCCGCGTTCTTGCGAAGTCTTAAGGAAACCATCAGTGTTGCAACATGTTCACAACATACTACCCAAACGGGCCTCTCGCCCGCGCAGGTGCCCTGCTCTTGGCTGCTGCACGCCACGAGGCCAGTGAACAGGAGCCAAAAACAGGAACTCGTCAGTGAACTCTCCTTGTTGCGGGGTGTCGGTGCGACGAAAAATCAGGGTCACAGGCAGCGCACCGCACGCGCGCGCTGGCCATGGACGAGCACGCGTTGTTCCCCAGGGCTCACCGGGGCCCCGTTCCGGCGGCGGTTATTGGGTCATGGGTTGGGCGCGCAAGGCAGCCGGCTGCTGGACGCGATGTCCATGCGGCGGAGCAAATGCGTTACCGCCTCTGTCTCATTTTGCGGTCATTTGTAACCACAGCTTCCGGAGGGACATTCAATTGTCCGGTGGTCCCGCCTTGAGTAGGAGCCGTGCGCGCCAGCCGCCGCCAGTGTGGTTGAGGCGTGCGCGCGTTAAGAAGGTATGTGCAACAACTTCTGTCACTCATTACGGATTTTTTGTTTTGATTTCCCAGTTGTTTCTTTCTGTGGTGAATAAGTATGGTCCCAATCTTCCTCTTGTTGCTCTTCCTCTTCTTCCTCCTCCTCGTTTTCTTCTTCCACATTGTGCTCCTCCTCCTCCTTTTTCCCCTGTGCTGCCAGTACTACCATTATCTTAATTCATACTGCGATTGCTACTACCTCTCCTCCTGTGTTTCGACGAAACTGTCCACTACCACCATTACTGCTGGTAGTTGTAATGGTAGCACTAGTAGTGGTAGTAGTAGTAGTAGTAGTAGTAGTAGTAGTAGTAGTAGTAGTAGTAGTAGTAGTAGGAGTAGTAGTAGTAGTAGTAGTAGTAGTAGTAGTAGTAGTAGTAGGAGTAGGAGTAGGAGTAGGAGTAGGAGTAGGAGTAGGAGTAGGAGTAGTAGTAGTGGTGATATTCTTATTAATAGTAGTAGTAATACTAGTAATCGTAGTATTAGTAGTAGTAGTAGTAGAAGAAGAAGAAGGATAAGTAATAGTAGTAGTAGTAGTAGTAGTAGT